CTGTATCGGCCTTCGCGAACAGCACTTGCCCCAACAGTCTATTTATGCTATAGGGGGAAGAGGGGGGGGTGGGATCTTTGTCTATGTTGTGGATGTGTAGGCACGTGATTGTGAGGATCGGTAGTGTCGTGGTTAGCGCTACGCTGCGCTACGAACCCGGCCTTCCGAGTTTGATTCCCGCTCACGGCCAACACCAGCGACGATTATCTAAACCGGTCATGGGCCTCCCCTAGGTCGACTCAGCCTCAAAATCAGTACCTGCTGCGGTGTGTAAACATCGCCACTCGGGAGACTAAGGCGGCCGGGCGTGGTGCTGGTCACCCACCCCCTCGTGCGTCGTGCCTGCCTTCATCGGTGTTACCCGCTATCAGCACGTGTCCCGCGACAGCCCATTCAGGCTATACGGGGGATCTTTGTCTTTGTGCGTTCGTCCCGCGTCGTCTCTCCTCCTACAGGGGGGAGGGAGAGTTGGGTCCCACCCACAGCGTCGCAAGCCCCGCTGAGCGAGGCTCTCGCGGGGAACGAAAAAAAGGGGGGGGGGACATAGGGAGATAAATTTGAATGCGAAAGCTGAGATGTGTTTACAGAGATGTACAATGCGAAGGGCACTTTTAAATTGAGTGCTCTATGGCGAGCTCTGCGTGTTGTTTCCCCCACCCTACCTTTGAAAACCTCCACGGGACAGCCACTGACAACATAAACACATCATGACATGGTACATCTCACAACAAATAAGCACACTGTTATGGCTACAAATACTTCAGTTATGGATCCCCCCCCACCACCCCTTTGACATGCAAGCAGCCTGACTAATGGTCTGTTTAGACTTGGAGCTGAGTTTGGTCAGGAAAAAAAAAGAGCAAAAATCCGCTTCATTTTCCTGGGAAAGTGACAACCCCTAACCTGATGGTGGGCGCGCGAGGCCAGCGGGGGGTGGTGGTGGTGGTGTGTACACCACCCCAGACTTGGGGCCGCTTTTGTTTGTGTCTTTGCGTTGGGTGGGGCTTTCTGAGACGACTCTCGCTAGCCGTGGCGGGGGGCGGCAGTGCCACCAAGCGTGCGTGTGGCTCCATCCTCCTCGTCCTCCTCGCTCCGCCCGCTTCCACTTGCGCGCCCAGTCGCTGCGTGCGACCCAGGGCGTTGCCTTGGGACGTGGGGTTGCGCGAGTCTGATGCGAGCCGCGAGGGTTAGGAAACGAGGAAGAAAAATCACCCACATGCATGTATTTAAAAAAAAATACATTTCAACTTAACTGTTCTATTTTACTAGGTAAGATCCGCTGGGCTTGATTGATATTTTATTTCAGAAGCGACCTGGCTTGTCACGTGGACATTTATCGCAGTCAAATATTGTAGACGCATGTTTCTAAATGTGGAGGGAAAAGGCTGGAGGATCCGGAGAAAAGTCTACACGACCATGTTTGCAAACTTCAAATATACAGGCATCGCCAGGGTCTGGATCGAACATACGACCTCCTGTATACCAGGCGAGGGAGTTAACATCTAATGCTGTCCAACGTGCGCTTGTCATCGGAGGTATTTGATCATGTGGCGGTAAGCGCTTGGTAGAAGCGAGGAAGAAAAATCATGCACACGCATGCAATTTTATTCTAACGCTGTTCAGCGCGCGCTTGTTCGCCAAGGTAATTGATAATGGCGGTAGCAAGCTCTCACTCTAACTCTCTCCAGGTGGGTAGGAAGTGTTACAATGTGTAGGCCGCGTGAAGACAACGGAGACCAGATAGCGGCTCTGTCAGGGAAAGTTCGGGCGACTATTGGGCTAAAGGAGGCTTATTTCTCTCACGTAAATTTATAATAGCAACCCAACTTCGTAACAAAGTTTTGTTCACATCCGAGCGTTTAGATCGTAGGTTGCGTAGCCAACGCTCTTCCAAATTGGATCGCGTTTAATGCTCTCTATTACGGACAGAAATAGAGTTGCAAAGCGTTAAAAATGGGTGTATGTGTGTAGTGCACTAATTCCAATTAAATATGGAATCAATGTTGATCTGATATGTTGGTGCCATGTAAATCAATTATCGGCGCTTTTTACTGCATTTGCAGTGTGTCAAGTTTCTCTTTCCTCAGATGACTAAAGGGCATCATTCATGTTCATCCTGAGCCAACGGTGGGAACTCCACATTCTTATGACGGGGACCAGTCTATCCTCCGTAACATTACATCTGCGTGCTGCATAGCTCAAACACGTAATGCTGTTTTTATGTTGTAGAAATCATTACAATTAACTCATCGGTTAAGTCATGTGCGATTCACTTTAACACTGCGGCCATAAAAGCACATTAGCATTTAGAGCAATCTGGTATTACATATATTCAACTGGGGTTTGTTTTCTTTGAGCCTGCTGTAATGTTTATTCGGGTGCTTATAACGCGTAGTCGAAGAACGTCACGTGGAGCCGGTAATGCTACTTTATTGCCACTTGTGTCTTTACAAGGCGAGTTATTAATTTACTGCCTGATCAAATTAGCCCCTGGTGCACTGCCCAGACTTGGCTTTGAACTTGTTAACGTTTCAATTCCGCCTCGCCCCCCTTCGCTGCCCCCCACCATAAACCCTCCCTCCGCCCGTTCTGGCCGGGGTAACTAACGTGTGAGTGAGCCATTCCCACTCGCAGCCCGGGGAGTCACCACTTTTATTGTCTCTCTCTGATTTATGATCTTAAAGGTGCATTGAAAAACTTGATACTCCGACTGATGCTTCTGTTGTTGTGGAGTAACTCATGCAGCCAGCTATGGCTCTAGGATTTGGTGTTACATGTTATTTATGCAGTTTATTGTAAAAAAAATTCGGTCACAGTCCCTATGATCACTGTTACGTTGCAATGATGGCTTTATTTTTTGGCGATTTCGAAAACGTTTTTTGGTTTGGACATGTTTGTTTTGTTGTAGTACGGAGTTAGACTGATGGCCTTAATCTAAGTTTTATTGTGGTTGTTGTTGTTGTTTGACTTGCATCCCACTGGGATTTTTTGCACACAGCGTTGATGTACGGTGCTTTTTTCGGGAATGTTTTGCTGTTTTTTTCATGGATTTTCTGTTTGCACAGTCACATAGTCACTTTAAGATGTTTTCTTCCTTCGTATTTTTTTTTGTTTGTTGTGGTTGCACCCGATTCAAGAGCTGAATGGCTCACAGGGCTATACCAGAATAAATAAACTGAAAAAAACTGATTGCGGCTATCAAAACCGTGGACCGTACAACATTGCTCAGCCCCCCCCCCGCCTATATAAATATAGATGTGGGGGCGGTGAGTGGGTGGGTGTATTTGCGATCGACCAACTTCTCAGGTGAAGCAACTTGCTTGGCTAACATCGCTTCGGGACGGCTTCTCTAATCGCGCCGATCTTCGTAGACCTTCGTAGACCCGTACGGACGACGGGAAGAATTTCCAGCCGGTGGAATGTAGACCCAACGCACAATGGGCGATGTTTGCCGCAGCAGTTTGCGTCGGTTTGACAAGAGCACCGGCGGCGATAAGTCTTTGTCTTCGTATTAAGACGTTTAGCATTGAGCTTTGTGTGGGCCTTGTGTGTGCGTGTCAATGTAGAGGATCGCGCGCCGCGCTACGAACTCGGCGACCCGGGTTCGATTCCCGTTCACGGCCAACACCAGTGAAAGCTATTATTATCTGAATGGGTCCTCGGCCTCTTGGAGGTCGACTCAGCCTCAAATTAGTACCTGGTGCGGTGTGTAATAAATAATCGAGACTCGGAGACAAAGGCGGTCGGGCGTGGTGTTGTCCAACCACCCCCTCGTGTGCCATGCCGGTCTTCATAGGTGCTCGCTAACAGCACTTGCCCCAACAGTCTGTGCAGGCTACACGGGGGGGTCTTTATCTTACGCATGTTCACGTTGTTTTATTTTCATTAAGCGACACTTGCGCGGTTTTGCGTGAAATGAATGGCGCAGGAGCATTACCTTGATTAAAAATACACACACACCGACTTGATTCTACACTCAGTCTCTAACCCAAAAACCTCTATTATGGTTGTTAATTATAACGTTGGTTACCGATCAGTGTATACCAGCTACATCATTGCACAATGGCGTTTGCCCATTGTGCAAATGCCGCGTACAAATTGCGGGTTGTTTTGCTAAAAAGCATCAGAAAATATCGTTGCCACTTGTTTGATAGGTCCATTAAATGGAATAATCAGCAGGTTACTAATCCATTCTACATACAGTATAGGTATTGGCTGCTCGTACAGATGCTATAGAATTAAACCTATGTAATGTTCACACTGTATCATATATTCGTTAAGTCTCCACTGACAAGTGAAAGGCGGCTGGATGATTGCTGAAGGCATTATGATGAAAACAAATGCACAAAGTCCATGATGATGCGCGTTGTAATTACTGTCGAAACGTCGTACTCGAATTCTAAACGTTGTGGGTTTACTCCTCAACACACCGGTGTGCTGAACTAATAACGAGTCGCAACGTTTTGTTCATATAGCAAACCTTACTAATTGGCTGTGTCGGGTGGTGGCGGGTTTAACGACACACTTATATATTCACGCAATCGAACCCACGACATTGATGGATCCATCAATGCCGTTTGTTGAAACGCCGCGTGAGAGCCCCATTGGAGCACGTGGTCTCACTCGCGCACGAGCACCTTGTGGCGCCGAACGTCGGCCGAACGTCGGCTGAACGTCGTCGCAAACATTCGACGAGGCGATAATGTTTTTTTTTACACAGACAAAGCGTTGTGTTTCCGGTACACAGCAGCACACACATACAACGACGTTCTGTATCGAGTCCTCTCTCTCTCTCTGCACCTCGGTCCTTGCTAGGGCTGAACGATTAATCGATTTCAAATCGAAATGGCAATTTGAAACAATGCGATTAGCAAATCGCAAAGGCTGCGATTTTTTTGCGATTTGAAAAGTCCTATTCCTTTCTTATTTAATTATTATAATGTCATTTATTTAACTTAACAATTGTTCCATGTTTGAATGTTCTATTTCAATTGCACATTATAATATATACACTATGGAAGCAATCCATATCTTTTAAGTTCTCATCCGCCCATGAGAATGTATAGAGCAGCTCATATTTTGATGGTATCATGTGGTAATGCTCCATCATGTTTTAAATCGATTACACAGTGAATGTTGAACTGAAGCTTGACTTATTTTTTTTTCCCCCATCTCAAATCGCAATATCTGTCAGAAAAAAAAAATCGCGATTAGATATTTCCCCCAAATCGTTCAGCCCGACCGCTTGCACGCGTCGGACGCGAACGCGCGCACGTGGGGAACGCTACGGCTGAAGAAAAGAGCCTCGGCTCAGTACGCGACGCGCAAACGTCGCACGGGCACAGTGATCACTCTCCTCTTCGTGGCAACTTCCACTCACTAGCAGCAACAGCGCAGACAGAGAGAGAGTGAAGAGAGGAGGATGCATGCTGTAGGAGGTAGAGTTTTTGTTCCTCTGTCCTTTCTCGGATTGTTCCCCCCCCCCACTCTCCTTTCTCGTGCGCCTCTGCTAGAGACTTTACGGTGCGACCGCGAAAACTCCCCAGACCTTTGTCACCTCTCACGTCTCGAGCCAGAGACATGCCCCCCCCTCCCCTCCCCTCTCCCGCACGCCCCTCGACAGTGATTAAACATTGATTGTGTGTATGATTGCCTGCAGACGACTAAACAATCAGGGAGAGGTCTCCGCAGCACATTTCCAACCGCATCCTCACCAGCACCCCCTCGGCTCAAGGATCATCTCGCCGCGTTCCCCCCATCCACTCCGCGCTCTCTCCTCCCCCACCCGCGAGCCCCTCGCACAAAACTCCCCTCTCCGATTTGTTTTAGCGGTAATTAGGGTGCCACGGTGTGTGTGGCGGCGGGGGGAGGAGGGAGCGAGGAAGGGACAATGCCGCCGCCCGAGCCGCGGGGCTTCGGATGAGACCGGCCAAAGGTGCGACTTGGCGCGAGGGTAAACAGGCGAGTAAACAGGAGAGTAAACAGGAGAGTAAACAGGAGAGTAAACACGCCGATAAACACGCCGGTAAACAGGCGGCAGCGGCGGCGTCGTGAGCGCGCAGCGCGCGTCCGCCGCTACGACTCGGAGGCGGTGAGGGCTGAGACGGCGGCGAGCAGAGTCGTGAAGAGTCGGACGGTGCCTCCCACACGCCCCCCCCCCCCCGCGTTGCTTTCGGGTCGAGCGAAGCGCTGTGGGAGAAGAGAGAGAGAGACAAAGCAAAAACAACAACAACAACAACAAAACTTATGACGAGTCGAGCGCTCTTGCAGACGACGGACGCCTCAGCTGTTCTGTTGCCTCCGGTTTTTTTATCGTCTTCCCCACCCCCCCACCACTCGTCCGAGACGCAGTGGCAACAAAGGTAAGGAGGGGGGGGGGGGACCCTTGCAGTCACAGCCCAGACCCGCGGGGGTTTTGATGGTTTGTTCTGTCCGCTGCTGCCGCTGTGATCGACGCTTTCACCGTGAAACTCGCCGGTCAATCCCTGTGCCCGCCGCTCTCTCCTCTCTCTCTCCTCTCCCTCGTGAGCACATGCGGGGCTGTGCAGGGCTCTCTCGCTGCCCACTGATTGATTGAGGGATTTTTTTTTCTTTTCTCAAAAGTTCATTCGGGATCCCCTTTTTTGTGTTGCCCTGTTCGGGGTCAGAGGGGAGCGTTGGCTGGCCATAGAGGGAAGGGTGGGTGGGGAGTGGGTGGGGGTTTGATCTTCCAGTCGGAAGGATTAAATTGTGGCATAAATATTGCATGCGTTGTTGCCTTATCGGAGTTTGTGACGATACTGCTGCAACAATAATCATTCGCTCGTTAGATTTAAACATATATCTCAATGCTCTGGTGTTTTCGTGTTCTATATGAATGTGTTAAAAAATTGTATTACTCTCAATCTCAAAATCTTTAGTTTTAAAAAGTACATTTCGACCGTCCGATGTAAACTATTTACTGCTGCGTGCCCGTGTGTGTCAGGGATGTTTGACTAAGCGGCGTTTATTTTCACGTGCGTTGATTATTAAACGTGTTCATTTAATTGTGTTCATAATTAGGTGATTTTATCATTTGATATATATTCACGTTGAAATATATTTGTGTGTAACACATAACAAAGAAATGTGTCATTAATACCATGGATGATAAAGCAACAATTTAAATAATAAAATATTAATTGTATCAAGCGTATTTGTCAGCAAACACAATTTTGATAAAATTATAACGATAACAAAGGATCAAAAAATAGTTCATATATGTATGGTCTATTATAAATGTAAAACTTTAAGCCAATAATATGACGAACGTATCGCACCGCAATCGTGCGCGGTATTTCATTTGTGATCTAAATGTTTCATGGCGCCGTTTTTAATGCGAAGAAAAAATTGTTCGGCGGAAAATTCACATCCATCAGTTTGGCATTTTTGGAGCCAATAATGAATCGCAGAGCATACGCATATAACGCCGAGTCTGCAGGCCGGACACAAACTGTACTCTATGCATATCCGTGCATGTCAGATGAAGTGCATTCAAGGCAGTGCTCATGACTCGCATTTAGCTCAAATCAATACGGAGCTTTGTCTATGTAGGCCTCTCTCTCTTTTTTTTCGTGCCTGCCCTCCGTACGCGCGGCGGCGCCGTAAATGTACGAGCGATAAATCTGTGTTGAGCGCCCTCTCGTTCTAGAGCAGGCCCCTCGATCCTCGCGCGGCGTAACCCCCCCCCCCCATCGCCCCCCCCCCCATCGCCTTCCCCGTTTCGCCCCCCCCCCCCAACTCCGTCCACGGTTGGGGGGAGAGCCCCTTGCCCGCGCCACGGGGCCCGCCAGAGTCCACGTGCGGTGAAAACAAAAAAAAGGGGGCTCGCCGCTCGTCGCTGCCGTAACAAGGCCGAGGACAACTGGAAATGATGGGCTAATTGTTGCGAATGGGGGTGGGGGCGGCTTTGTTAATGGGACCGGCTGATTTAGTGGCCCGGCGGAGGTCTCGGCTTGGCGTGGCTTGAGCGAACGAGGGCGGGAGTGGGTAAATGCCGCAAGTCCGAATAGAGGAGGAGGAGGCGGCGGCGGTGGCGGTGGGGGGGTGGTGGTGTACGACGCGAGGATCTGCAGGGATTCCTGCTGTCTCGACCGCCGCTTCTGCTGCCGTTAGCGCGGCTGCTACCGCCGCTCACCTTGCGTGGAAACCTGAGCCCTTGCTGCTGCCCTTGCTGCTGCCCTTGCTGCCCGCCTGCCCGCCCGGCCACTAACGGCTCTGCCCTCCCTGCTAAGCATGGTCTGACACGCCGCCCAGGTAATTACAAGGTGCCAACTTCCACTCGCCTGCCACCGCCCTCGGTCGATTTGGAGACTTCGCGTGCGTGCGCGTGGATCCGCGTGCGTGCGTGCGCGTGCGTGCGCGCGCGTGCGTTCGCGTGCTGAACTCCTGCAGAGTGTGCGTGCGCGTGCAGGTCGTGTCCCGGCGTGCGTCTTGCACCGACCCCCCCCCCGGGGTTACACGCTGCATGTGCACGCAGGTGCTGGACGGAAGGGGGGCAGGCGGCACACTTTGCTTGTTGTTCTATTCGCTGTCATGCCATCGTTTATAATTTGTTTTTAAAATACAAATTGGCGGTCCTTAATGTTGTACTATATACGTACACGTCGAGGCGTGTGTATGCAAATGTATACGTTTAGAGCGCGGAGTTTATGAGTTAATGCGGTTTGCGTAAATGTGCGTAGTGTAAACAGTGTGCTTTTGTGCGTAAGTGTTAACTTATTTAAGCACGTACGAGTGCTGTGTATTAGTTGCATGCGTGCAAAGTGTGTGAAGGTGTATAAGTGTGCATACGTACGTGTTTGAGTGTGTGTGATGTCAGTTAAAACGGGTACTACTATTGGCAAATGTGTGTCTTCATATGTGTATATGTAAAACGAATCTACGTGCAAATTTGCAATATGAATAAATATTTAGATTATATCCTGTGCGTATATATTTATAAATGTGTTCATGTACAAGTGAATTGTAAAAAAAAATCTACGTAAGTTTACAATGTAAAGAAATACCTGCGCGAGTTTTATGCCTTTTATAACAGTCTGGTTAGCACTTAATACTATTTTTCCTGGTATATGGGTTAAACTTTTGCATATTCACTTAAATGCAGTCCCTTAATATTTGATATCGCAGCAAAAATAAATGCCTTTACGGGTAATTGTTTAAACCGATGTGAACACAGAGCTAATGCACAACACGTGTATATTTTTGTATTGTGACATTAAATAATGTAAGCTCTTAAATACGTGCATTGCGGTGCCAAAAACCAGTATTTATATACTTTAATAACATCTTTATTTAATAACATCTGTTATTAAATAAAGACTTGCACCTTCGTTGTTACGGGAAAATAAAAGCTAAACATTGGGTGTTTGTGAATTCCCGCACTACGTTCATAAAACAGAACAATTGGATTAGAACGGGATTTAGTTCCGCGTGCAGCCAACAAACCGTCGCACCGAATGTCACTGTTACAATGGGGCCACGCATCACAACAGCATTTGTTTTTCTTCCTTCGGGAAGGGGGGCAGCATAACTGAGTTATTTGCGAGCGCGTTTGAAAAAAAAAACTCGTAGATAAGCGTAATCCGTGGCAAGCGGAGAGGAAATAATGTGAAGTTAAGCTCATTATTAGGGTAGGTTTTCATCCCAGATCCCCACCTTTCCTTGGGATTTCTCGTAAGGGGAACAATTCAGCCGCTCTATAATTAATACTCCTGGCACTTGATGGGACATCATTAGCAAGTGTAGGCAAATGCATCTCCAACATCCCCGGCTCCTGAAAGTGTGTGTGTGGGTGGGGGGAGGAATTGATAATTTACATCCTCACCGCGGAGCTCATTGCGAAACAGCTTTTTTATTGCAAGGAAATGAAATGCAGTGGCCCAACTCGTCCGGAGTGAAATCCCACGGATGGTGGTGCTTGCCACGGCCTCGCGTCTGTGCTCAGGGCCCAGCCGGACGCGAACGGCTCTTGAAAATAATGAACATTAATTTAGATCTTTATTGCCACCAGGAAATACAAGTCAATTAAAAGTGTTCATTAGCAATTTATATTAAAATGCAGAACGACTGCGCGGTAATTATAAGCGGTAATATTCTTAATGACGTTATTACCGCACTGAGACCCAGTGTGGTGAGTTAAATAATGTTATTTGTATACTGCTCTTCAATTACGGTGGCTTCTGTAAGTCAGTGTTAATCATTTAATACGTTAAATTGGCTTTTAATTTTGGTGGCGGGAGTCCGTTTTTTTTAAAGCCTTTATGTTTGTCAGAAAGCGGTGCGCTTGAACGTCCATCTGTGCGCCGAAACCGGTACGTGCATGTAGGCTCGCTGCGCGTTCATTCATTATGCGCTTGTGTTACGTGCGTTTGTGTGTTCTACGTAAAAAAAGGGCTGTTGAGCCAATCGCTATTAATGAACGGCGGTTAAAGCTGGTGCAACTAGAACAAAGATGATCAGGAGATCTTTGCCTTATTGCCATTTATACTCGGGTTATATTGTACACGCTCGCGTAATGCGTGACGTTGGTGTGGTTCATTTAAAGCATTTGGTGCAGACAGAATCGTTTAAGAGTGCAGCTGCACACAAACACTGCCGCCTTAATATTTCGTGGTGTTCAGCCTTAATATGAATGCATGGCCCCTTCTAATTATCTCACACCTCAAAACTTTCTGACTTTCCTTACACAATGATGGAGCATGACGTGCAGGAAAATGTTCAGCGCCTCTTCAAGGGACAACAGGGAATAGAATGTCCACAGCTGTTCGGGCTTTGCCTTCGTTTGTGAAACAGGGAATCATCAAAGCCATCGCGCTCACCCGACGGTTTATCCGTACTCGTTTAACTCCTCTCTGCGCACGACACCATCGTTCGTCTGCCACCGGCGAGCGAGCGTTCCGCAAGCTTTGCCCCCAT